TATGTTAGTAATATTTATAAAATAAAGAAAAATAAATTAAAGAAGAATGTAGATATTATATTGGATATAGGTCAGGTTTTGAAATAATAATGCAAATATCTAGCTTGGCAAATAATAATGATTTTGCTACTCTGAATATGACAACAAAATTAATAAATTTATTTGTTTTATTTGCGAAGCCAGGTATTAGACTCATTTAAAATTTGTGAAAAAATGTTATCAAGAGACACGGTAGTGTCTCGCGCCAAGTCACGCGCAGCAACAGCGAGGCACTCCGGTATCTATACGCGAGTCGGCTAGTAAGAGTATATCTCAATATTCGTTTTCATCAATAACGGCTGAACCAATCATATTTTTAACAAGCTTAATCGATAGCTTGGGTTTAAATTATATAATAAAAGTGTTTTTATTTTTTTTTCTACATGTATTGTGAGCAGAGATTAATATGATGCAAAGTCTCAATGTGAAAATTTTTCTTTAAGAAACGTCCACGTCGTCATCATTCACGCAAGTCCTCAATGCACATGTGCGAATCTTGTACGGTTGGAGCTTTTGACATAAGATTGCGCTAATGGCGCTTCGTGATTTTACTAAACTAATAACTGTATGTCACTATGTGCTCATATAGGTTAAAGTGTGCAAGAGTTAAGTGTGCAGTATTATTGTTATTATTATTTTATTATTATACGAGTTATCTTGCATACGTACTAATGATTTAAGAGCATATATACTAATACGGATAGGCTTCAAAATTATTAATTTAATTTAATGAATAAATCATTAGTACACATATATGTTCTTAAATCATTATTGCATAAGCAAGACTCGTATAATACATGCATTTTTGCCTGCATCTTGATTCGTCGAAAAGTAGCAAGAATTGTGTATAGATATTGTATATAAATATGTGGCGGATAACCACCACAAGAGCACGGGCGCGCGGAACCAATTTGCGGCCCTTACAACATGGCGGCAAGCGCGCGCGCCCAGACTCACGCGCGGAACACGTGCAAGCCCAACAAACTACGGGAACGTACCGCGACGCGGCGGCAGCCGGGAGTCGGCGCCAGGAAGTGAAATCACCAGTCGCGGCTCTCGCTGCTATAGAGAGGACACCTCTCGCTTAGTGAACGAAAGTTAGCGACGACGGGCGGAAATTCGGGTCCGCCCGTATAAGCACCTCGCACCTTGCGAAGAGGCAAAAAGCAGCAGGGAAAGGAACGTCCACGTCCACTTCCGCCGCCCTCTTCACCTGGGCCTAGTTTGCGGACCGGACATCCTGTGAAGCCCCCGACCAGCGCTTCCACTCGCCGGCACCTAAGCCGGTCCTTCCAGGAGTGGAAGCTGCAGCCTTTGGAGCTGTCGCCGGTGCGCTTCACCCGTCCGGGCAGGGACTTCCTGACGACGTGGGACGTAAGGGTACGGCGCTACACCTCGCCGACCTACGGCTGGAACTATCCTCCACGCCTATCGCCGTTGCCACCATCACCAGCGGCCAACGAGCACCGCCACCAGGAGACGCAGACTGCCCCCTCCTGCAGAATACATAGGGGAACGCAGTCACTCTCCTCCACATCTGAGAAGGCGACGCAGGTGACCAACATCACCACCTGCGAACGGACCACGCAGTCCGACCTCTCTGACTGGGAAGAAGCTCCCCGCTCAAATCAGCCAGACGAACCGCCGCTGCCGGAGAGGAGTTACACCTCTCCCGGGACTCCTCCGGCGCTCCGTACGAGGTTCGGTCCGCCCCGGTACACCTCTACGGATCCGCCGCTCCAGTGGCGTGAACGCCTCTTGTAGGGCGCTAACACTAGCGCACAACCGGCCCTTTTCAGGGCCACCCCAAAAACCAAACACATATTAAGGACTTGTATATACCTCTCGACTGTATAGTAATCTTAGAAATATATTTTTGTACATAGTACTTGCGAGTGATCTTTGACGACATCCCTTCCATCAACATCTTCCCTTTACGTATTGTGGGGCGAAGGAAGTAAGCGCGCTTCCACACACACACCCTATTGACCCCACAAATATATTTATTAAATTTTTATTAAATTTTCTATTTTCCAACGAATCAAGTTATATGTAGAAAATATTTAAATATGTTTTAAATAAAAATTTAATGAATATATTTATATACAATATCTATACACAATTCTTGCTACTTTTCAACGAATCAAGTTACAGATAAAAATGCATGTATTACAGGAGTTATCTTGTATACGCACTATAATGGTTTAAAAGCATATGTATTAAGAGAGATATCCCAGCACAAAGTAACGGTAACATAATGTCAATGTTAGAATTTCCCACTCAACGATACAACTGTTACATACAATGCATGTTACATCGCAATTACATTGTCCAGTGGAAAATTATAATATTGATGTCACATTACTGTTATTTTATGTTTGCTGGGATGGTTCTAAATTATTAATTTGTAAAGAAGCTTATATAAAACTAATATAAAGATAAAGAAATGGCTTTTTAATATCTGGATAGTTAAGTCAGGTAAGAGATAAACATTAGTACATATGCTTTTAAATCATTAATGTGTATGCAAGAAAAGTAGTATAATACATAATATCAACATCAAAATAGTTGTAGCTGATGTCCCCATTGGATATTTCAGCATCCACATCAAATCTAGAACTATCATTGCTGCTATCAATAAATGATGATCAAAAAATTAAAATAAAAGATTAAAGTAAAAGTAAATAGCTTAATGCGAGACACTATCATATTTCTTGTGTATGATCAATACATACACATAACGTAATAAGTAACAATTTCTTTTCAGTATGTCAAGTTTAGAAAAAGAGATGGAAAAAGGCATAGGAGGGGAAGAATTAGAAATATCTATGTCAAAAATTGAAACAAAGGCAGCGATGGCAGAAAATATAATCTTAAAAAAAAGTAAAAAAATTAGAGCAAAAATTAGAAGTAGCGAAAGCACAGCAGCCACCACCATCACTACCGCCACTGCCACTGTCAACAGCAGAATCTTTACAATCAAAGTCGGAGAAGACAACATCAACATCAAAGTCGCTCAGCCAACATTGGAGGTTTCAGCATCCACATCCAATTTAGAACCATCATCGCTGCTATCAATAAATGATGATCAAAAAATTGTTCACCGTCAAGAAAAAGGTAATTAGACATTTCAATTAATAAATGCATTAATCTAATTTACTAACTTATCATTTTCCACTAACCTAATTTATTAATATTCACAATTATAACTAAAACTGAAATAAAGTATCACTTTTATGTTGTCAGTAATCATACAACAACCACCTAGATGGAGGAGAATGGGACAAAACCGCGGACGAGGCCGCGGGCGAGGCCGCAGGCGAGGCAATGGGCGAGGCAATGGGCGCCAAAACGTGTTCTGTATTTACTAATTATGTGTGATAGAGCTTTTTTTTATTACATTTTATTTTTTTTATTTGATTAGAGATTTTTATTTTTTTTAATTATATGTATACATACACATATAACATTTCATATATCATATGTAATATTTCCAAGTTGGGAGTATATTTTTCTTTAATATAAGTTTTCTTAATATATAGTGAATTAAATTTATTTTGTTTTCAAAGTTAAGATTGTATATTATATATGAAAATAATCATTTATTTTGCGTTATACATTTCCAAGTTGGGAATATACTTTTCTTTAATATAAGTATTCTTAATATATTGTAAGGTTACACCTTACCCGCGCCATTTATTTAAGACTGCGTGCGCATTCAGGCAGACGTCTGCGCGAACGCAATGACGTCACGATGATGAAAGCGTTACTATTGGTTAAGGAGGAACTGGCGATCGGCGCTGCCGGTTCGAGTGGTAGACACGCGAAGGAAGAATGTGAATGCGTGCTAAGCCTTCCGCGCGTTAAGAAGCTCTAAGCTACTTTCGGTTAGATACCGCTAGTAAGAGTTCGCGTGTTTGTAACAACGTTATATTGTGTTTCACAAATATACATATATTTATACAGCATACAAACGCTGTAGTTCTTAAATAATCCATGCTGGAAAACCTCCCGTTATTTAAGCCTCTCTTAATCCTGACATTCAAGAGATCTCTTTATCCTGGATAACCTTCCAGTGGATCCTTACAATATATTGAATTAAATTTGTTTTGTTTTCAAAGTTAGATAAGATTATATATTATGTATAATTAAAATTAAGCTGCGAAAAGCAATTTGAAAATAAACATTTACTTTGCGTTATACATATGTAATACATTAATATATATTTTTTGTTTTATTAAGATTATATATACTATATATAATTAAGGTTAAGATGCGAAAAGCAATACTTTGCATTATACATATATAAGACTGTATAACTTTTATATAACTTCGAATTAATATAGATATAATTCAATACAATATTTAATATTTATATAGTTCTTTCAATTTTATTTACCTATTTATGAGTATCGTATATTAAAGATAAAAGTTTAATTATGTTAATATTTATGTTAATATTTTTGTTAATAATGCACTTTTATTAAAGTTTTATTTTATAAGTAAGAATGGTAAAAATGCATAATAACGGACCCAGCTCCAATGACCTTGACCTTGACATATGTTGTCAAGATCACTGTCCTGAGCATCCTCCAAAATGTTTTAGGCGTCGCTCGTTGTTTATTAAAAAGTTATTAACAAAAAAAGTTTACTAAATAAAACGTAAATGAGTAAATGTTTACCTTTACACACCTTATCCCATATGACTTCCAGTTGATCTTGATGTCGACCTTGATCTCTAAGAAGGTCAAGGTCATTGACCTTTCCCGTCACTAGGTTAAAAAGTTCTGACTCCTTAAACAAGATTTATAATTATATGATTTCACATGAATTTGCAACTTTCTGCACGAAGCAAGGTCTAGTTTTAAATCAGAAATAGGTTTGGGTTATGTTATATTTTCCGGAAGTGGAGCCCCCCCGTAGGGTGAGCGGAACCCACTGCATTCACGCATACACTTTCCCATCCACACAACAATCGTGGGATGGACTTCGCTTCGCGTTGTAAAATATATGCGTGGACACAGTAGGTTCCGCCCTCCTCCTACGGGGGGGATCCACTTCCGAAAGATATAACCTAACCCAAATCTATTCCTGATTTAAAACTAAAATTTGGTTTGGGTTAAGCTATATCTTTCGGAAGTGGAGCCCCCCATAGGGGGAGGGGGACCCACTGCGTCCACGTATATACTTTACAACGCGAAGCGAGGTCTACACTACGATTCTTGTGCGGGTGGAAAATATATGTATAATGCAAAGTATTGCTTTTCGCATCTTAACCTTAATTATATATAATATATATAATCTTAATAAAACAAAAAATATATATTAATGTATTACATATGTATAACGCAAAGTAAATGTTTATTTTCAAATTGCTTTTCGCAGCTTAATTTTAATTATACATAATATATAATCTTATCTAACTTTGAAAACAAAACAAATTTAATTCAATATATATTAAGAATTCTTATATTAAAGAAAAGTATACTCCCAACTTGGAAATGTATAACGCAAAGTAAATGATTATTTTCATATATAATATATAATCTTAACTTTGAAAACAAAATAAATTTAATTCATTATATATTAAGAAAACTTATATTAAAGAAAAGTATACTCCCAACTTGGAAATGTATATATGATATATGAAATGTTATATGTGTATGTATACATATAATTAAAAAAATAAAAATCTCTAATCAAAAAAAAATAATAAAAAAATGCTCTATCACACACACAATTAGTAAATATAGAACACATTTGTGCGCCCGTTGCCTCGCCCATTGCTTCGCCCGCGGCCTCGTTCGCAGCCACGTCCGCGGTTTTGTCCCGCTCTCCTCCATCTAGGTGGTTGTTGTATTGTATGATTACTGAAAACATAAAAGTGATATTTTATTTCAGTTTTAGTTATAATTGTAAATATTAATAAATTCGGTTAGTGGAAAATGATAAGTTAGTAAATGAGATTAATGCATTTATTAATTGAAATGTATAATTACCTTTTTCTTGACGATGAACAATTTTTTGATCATCATTTATTGATAGCAGCGATGATGGTTCTAAATTGGATGTGGATGCTGAAACCTCCAATGTTGGCTGAGCGACTTTGATGTTGATGTTGTCTTCTCCGACTTTGATTGTAAAGATTCTGCTGTTGACAGTGGCAGTGGCGGTAGTGATGGTGGTGGCTGCTGTGCTTTCGCTACTTCTAATTTTTGCTCTAATTTTTTTACTTTTTTTTTAAGATTATATTTTCTGCAATCGCTGCCTTTGTTTCAATTTTTCACATAGATATTTCCAATTTTCCCCCTCCTATGTCTTTTTCCATCTCTTTTTCTAAACTTGACATACTGAAAAGAAATTGTTACTTATTACGTTATGTGTATGTATTGATCACACACAAGAAATATGATAGTGTCTCGCATTAAACCATTTACTTTTACTTTAATCTTTTATTTTAATTAATGTACATATATTATGTGTGTGAATGTGTGTGTGTGTGTGTGTGTGTGTGTGGTATGTGATCCACTGAGTAAATAATTCACGAAATAAATGAAAATTTAACTTTAATTTCAGAGAATGTCCCGATATTAATAAAATTATTCATGAAAAATGTTATCAATTACATTGAGTGGGAAATTGCTTTGTGTCGGACATTCACTAAGTGGTCCGCATACAAGGATCGTCACAAATCTAAAAATCTCATCTTCTTCAACCAACTAAGCAATAAACTACCAAATCACTACATGTGTATTTGTTGCCTTGTGTTTGCTAGGTACATACTTACTTCTTACGATTGTTGCGATATTCTTTCATTGCAAAATTATAATAGAGCAATGGCTGCTGTTTATTGTTCTGGTATAGAAAAGATAGATTGTTCATATGACATAGACTTATCATAAGATGTGTCTCGCGCCATAAACTGTACATTCTTATGCGATGATGGCGACCACATTGAAGGATAGAATTATGTGAGGTCATGCTCTTTTTATCACACAATACTCTATGAAAAACCAATCGAAAAGCATCTGACTCTTTATTACTATAATGCCGATTTTACCAATCACCTGCGCGAATGCAATTGCGCCGTCTTTATGTTATAATAGGAAGATGATGTGATAGCGTGCGCATACGAAGGTATCATCTGCGCGCGCCATCACATGATTTTCCTATTATAATATGTAGAGGGTGCGACATTAGCATTTTAAAAGTTAGTAATATCTTTATATAGGTTATAGATTTTCAATACTAGCAGTGAATCATAGTTGGTAATATGCCTATGCTTTATCATCAGTATTCAGAGTATAAATGTTGACAGTAAAGAGTAACAGCTTATTATTATATTATAGTAAAAGAAAGTGATAAAGAAATAGTTTATTGCTATCAATCGATCCAGTGGCTCGCGATTAATCACAAATAGTCGGAATTTTATTTCATGCAGATGTAGTAATTAATATATAATTTATTAAAACACTTGTTATATTAAATAGTAAATGCACATTTTTTGATCAAATATTATGTTTAATAATTTATTT